TATTTATTTTTTTTGAGGAAGATTAGCCCTGAGCTAACATCTGCTGCCAATCCTCGTCTTTTTGCTGAGGAAGACTGGCCCTGAGCTAACATCCATTCCCGTCTTCCTCCACTTTATACATGAGACGCCTACCACAGCATGGCTTGCCAAGCGGTGCCATGTCCACACCTGGGATCCAAACCAGTCAACCCCAGGCCGCCGAAGCAGAACGTGTGACCTTAATCGCTGCGCCACCGGGCCGGCCTCTGGGCTGCTCTTTTTAAGACTTCTGCTCTATCTCTATATTTTGTTCTGACGCTAGTACTGTTCCCAGATTCATAGATCTGTTCTCCTTGGTTCCCAGAACTTTCCACTGCAGAGACATCCAGCCTTGCCATCGCCAGGCAGTGTCCCGTGCACCCTCCTCCCTCTCGGTAAAGCTCCCTTTTGCTCAGGTACCGATCCCAGCGCAGGTGCCGGGAAAGGGACTGAGTTTAACTGCTCTGTGCTGAGAAAACACACACATATATATATATATACTTACTATTTATTTATAAATATACTACTAATACACAATATATAAATAATATACATTAATAAAGTATAATTGATAATATGTTAATAATAAATATATAAGCCTCTCATAATCACCCCGCCCAGAGATAATTCTATTAACACTTGATGTTTACTTCTAAGTTCTTTCCCATGCTTTCATAAAAACTCTATATATCCACTTATATATCTGCATCCACTTTTCTATTTTCTCATTTAACACTTTAAAATAGATGCTTTTCAAATGGTAGGGTGAATGGAGACAGTTGGAGCCGGGGCTCGTCAACAGCCATAAAGCAGGTCACCAGCTCCCTTTACGCACCGTGGACACTGTGACCCACACACCCAGAGGCATCCTGGGAGGTCCTGCTGGGGAGCAGTGCATGGGTGGGTACCCTTTTGCTAGCACTGATAGCCACAGGTAAATATACTTTAATGCTTCTCTGAGGGCCAAGTTAACAAGATGCCTATCCCTCCAGCAAACACCCTCTGTGAAGTCTTCAGCTGGTCCTTCTTGGCCCTCACTTTGCCTTCGTGAGTCTCGTGTGCTAGAGAACGGGGCTGTGGGTCATGGTGGAACTTACCTCCACTCCAAGGAGGGTACTTGTACACAGGTTTAGGAGGAATTCTTATGTCCTTTAACTTCTTCCCCCTGTACTGGAAGTAAGAGCGGTTTGCCTTCCAGGAACAAAACCTGTGAGAAGAATGGCTTCTGGTCACAGGGAGAAAATCACCAGCCCAGGGGCTAGAACACTGAACTCAAGGGAACCAGGTTGGAACCAGTCCTCTCAGAGAGAGGGGTGTCCAACAGAGAAGAGGAGAGCGTTTGGCCTCAGAGTGGCCCTTCTTCTGAGGCCTCCTCTTTGTCCAGGCCCAGCTCCAGTGAGGGCTTGGCATGGGCAATATCTTGGGACTTCCTTCTGGAATCACCAGTGAACAGAGTCTGTAAAAAGCCTGCGGTACCCAAACCTGGGGTGGGGTTAACCTCTGGGGTGCTCTCTTCATCATCAGACTATGAGATGCTGCAGCCAGACCATCTGACTGGCCTCCTCTCGGTTCCTGATCCCCGAGTTCCATCCTATTCCTTACTGAGAGCTGTGACCCCCTCACCTTACTCCCAACAGCCTCTTCCCTGGAGTAGACCCTGGTTCCTCACATGAACTCAGACTCACATACTCACTGCAACCTGAGAAGCCCTCGCAACACTCTCCGTCTCTTCCTCCCTGGTCCCTAAACCCTTGCTATCCCTCAGCCCTTGGATTGGACCCCTTGGACGTTGGTCTTGGCTGAGACTGCATTTATTTTTTTTCCTGACTTGACTCTGGTGGTCTTGACTGCTGCCCTCCTTCCCCCTCCCCAAGAGGGACTCTATTTGATCACAGTTGGTTTCTCCCATTCCACTAGCTAAACTGGGTCTCCCTCCCATCATAGACCTCCCAACATGCTACGGATGCATTCTCTATGGTGCTTAAGAGGCCAAGAGACCTGGTTTCTACTCCCGGTTTTACCGTTTACCAAGTGATCCTTGGCAAGTCCCTTAACCACTCTGAACCTCAGTTTCCTCATAGGGACAATAATGCTTTGCCCTACCCACCTCACAGTGTTGTCGAGAGGTTCATCTGAGATAATATACATGGGCACAGTGCACAACATAAAACTCTTTGTAGTATATAGGAAAGCAGATAAGAGCCAGCTGCACGAGGATTAGGGATTCAAAGCCTGTCTGAAGCATCCCTATACTTTCTAAGGAGGCATGAGAGAGAGCTGAGTGCTGACTCAAACCAGGAGCAGAATATATTTCCCAGAGATTCCTGGTCCTCCAGAAAGTTTCGGGATGAATTCCCACTAAGTTCTGGTGTGGAGAACTAGAATCCAGTCTCGAATTAAGTGCTAGATAGCAGTTGGTGTTCAAAAGGCTAATCTGGTTATCTCGAACTTAGATTTTTGTATTTCCTTGGATCCTGTATTAAATAATTATCTTAGAGATTTTAAAGTAAAGGTTGGTGATTGGTAAGTAATCTTTACACTTCCATTTTCATAAAGTAACTTTTTGTGTGTGTTTGGGAGAGGGGAGCCCCAAAGAGCTGGACTCACATAATAATCTAAATATCCCAATTAGCCTGGTCTGGGGACATTGCAGCCACTTGTCCTCTGGTCACCATCACACAGGGCACTGCCATTCACTATGTGGAAGATGTGAGCTGGCGCCACTGTGGACCACAGGAGTAAGGAACCAGCTGAGAGAACCTAGGCCAGACTCTCAGCCCACACCTGGACAGGAAGATCAGGAACGGGCGGACCACACGGCTTGCATTTGTCATGCAGATATTTTGTTGGTTTTCGTTTTATTTTTTTGGCCTTCCCAGCTTCCTCACCATGTTTTTGTTTCGAGTTAATTGCCACATTTGCCACTTTAACCTTGGGAAATATGACACCAAAAATCTGAATTTCTAGCTCCTCTTGAAAACTGAAATATCTAGCAACTGTGCCTTTAGCAGTAAGTATGGGATCTGGCCTTAACAGGGCAAAACTTTTCTGGCTTTGCTGCTTCCATGAGGCTTGTTAAGCACTAGCACAGTTGTGTTAGCCTCGACAGAACCTCTCCCCAAGTAGCTGGGGTCCACCCTCACCCTTAGGCGAGGAATCTACACCTAAGAAAACCTAACGCCCTTGTTCCAAGCAAGTACAGGGAAGAGACGGGAAGCAGGCATTCTGATCCCCAGTCTTACTTGGCCTTCCATCCTCTGATTCAGTGTTCAGTGTGAGAGTGTGAGGGATGGAGGGCGGCGAGGAGAATAAGAATGCGCCCTCTCAGTTCCCACGAAACTAGAGACTGTGAAACAGAGGGCTAGAGGAAGACAGAAAACTCTCTAGAAAGTCAAACGTGTTTTCCTGACCTCGTGGTCCTCGGGTGAGGGGAGATAGTTACCTTTTCCAGAAGTACATAATGACGGGGAAGAGAGACATGACAGCCCCGTGGAAGGTGTTCCGATCTAGGTGGCCCTCTGCAATGGTAGCAAGGATGGCATCCCTCTGGGAGTCAGAGATATTCACCTATCCAAAGAATGGGAGCCTGTCACTGGCAGAGGCTCCAAGGAAGGCAGAAAACCTCTCTTGGCCCCCCAGGACCTTCAAGACCACCCCCTCCCCAGAAGGCAGAAGCTTTTCATGGGGCTGCTAGGTAAAGGACATCTGGCTGACCCACGGCTTAGGAAGTACCTGACAACTAGCTTTCAGGATTCTTGTGGGGGAAATGCTTCTTGGCAAAAGGCCAGAGAGGAGCGGGAGTCCCTCTTACCCTCAGCCTTGGAGGGGTCTCAGAATGCAAGAATAGCTTTAGGATGATGTTAATTTTGGACCTCAGGAGGATCACATCATTCTCGTTGTATGCCCGGTTGAACAGTAGCACCTGAGATGAACTCACCAAATTGTTAAATCTAAAAAGAGGCAGGAAGTAGGAAATTAGCAAGGAGAAGATGAAAGCAGTGACTAAATAGGGTGGCTAGCCCAGACCTCTTTCTGGCCTAAAAGAGACAGGGCCAATCCTGGGCCAGGTTGTGACTTCATTCAGTCAATCATAATTCATCCATCATCAAATACCAATTGGGCGACAACCACATGTCAGATAATATGCTAAGTGCTTCTTCAAGTGTATTTCTGTACTACTAACTCCCTTATGTAGCCCATCCCCTCCTCTTTACCCATCCCAGCCCCTGCCCCAGTTTCGCCTCTGACTACTGCAAGGGCTAAGGGCTGTCTTGCTCTTTCTTTCCCCTCCTGTGCTGACCCTCTCACAATTACCACTACTCTTGGAAGCAACATTCCTTTTCTTAAAAATTCTTTTTGTTGTAGTAAAATATATATAACATAAAATTTACCAGTGTAACCATTGTTAACTGGTTCAGTGGCATTAAGTACATGCACATTGTTATATAATCACCACCACCATCCATCTCCAGAAATTTTTCCATCTTCCCAAACTAAAACTCCATGCCCATTAAACACTAACTCCCATTCCTCATCTCCCCCGGCCCCTGGTAACCCCTCTTGTACTCTGTCTCCCAGCAACGTATTCTTTTATTAACTATCAAGTATCTCTCAGTTATACCTTCTCTCGATTTAAGTACACAGCTTACTTCCCTCAGGCCATTTTAAATCCTAACTATTTTACATACCTGGTAACCACGGTTTTCCCATTACAAGCCTGTTTTGTTTTTTTTTTTTAAAGATTTTATTTTTTCTTTTTTCTCCCCAAAGCCCCCCAGTACATAGTTGTATATTCTTCGTTGTGGGTCCTTCTAGTTGTGGCATGTGGGACGCTGCCTCAGTGTGGTCTGATGAGCAGTGCCATGTCCGCGCCCAGGATTCGAACCAACGAAACACTGGGCCGCCTGCAGCGGAGCGCGCGAACTTAACCACTCGGCCACGGGGCCAGCCCCCATTATAAGCCTGTTTTGCATATCCATGCCTTTATTCAATCAGTGGACGCTTATTAAGGGTTTACTCTGTGCCAGGCACAGTTCCGGGAGCAGGGGATCGGCAGTGAACATTGTAAACAGAGTCCTGGTTTCCAGGAGCTCACAAATCAATGAAGGGAAGGAGTTTATAAGTAAACAAACGAATCCTTAAATACCCAGTAGAGTGCTATGAAGACAACAGAAGGGGGGTTGGGAAGGGGATGGGCACTGAGACTGGAACAAAGAGAAAGAAAGAGACAGTCACTTGAAGACTTGAGGGCTGGGGCTTCTTCCCACAGCGGGAGCAGCAGGCGCAGGGGCTCTGAAGCAGGCAGCAGCTGAGCAGCGGCGCGGGTGGCGCAGAGTGGAGCCTCAGAGCCGGAGCAGGGGGCAAGCAGCGAGGAGCAAGAGGTGAGCTCCCAGCTGTAGGTAGGTCCTGCTCCTGCAGAGCCCTATTAGGCAATGGGAGGACCTTTGGACTTTATTCCAGTGGTAATCGGAAGCCACCGGAACATTTTAGGCAGGAGAGTGATATAATCTGGTTTACACTGTTGAAAGGCTGCTCCGGCTGCTGGGCTGAGAACAGGTTGTAGAGGGCAAGGGAGAAAGCAGAGACAACGGCGACGGGACTTGGAGCTGCAGAGGCTGTTCACTCTGGTATTTCTTCTGCTCCTCACTTGCCTCCTCCTTTCACACTTTTTTTTTTTTTAATCTCACTAGCCCCTACTCATCCTTCAAAATGCAGCTACCAGTCTCCCAAGAAATCATACCTGAGGACTCACTTGTCTGTCTAAATGCACTTCCTGGGCCTGACTTGTCCATAGCACCTATCAACCCACTTCCTCACTTTTTTGTGTGTCTTTTCTGCCATCCCCATTTGTCTATGGGATCTTGGAGAGTAGAGAGCAATGTCTTAGTTGTTTTTTGTATCTCCAGTGCCAAATTCAGTGCCAAGAAAGAGAAAGCAAGCAACAAGTGTTTGTGGAACTGAGCTAAATCCCTTACTGGGGGCAGTGGAAGATCTTAACCAAATGCCCCTAGTGATGTGTTGAGTCACCAGGTGCTCTGCACTTCCGGAAGCACACTGACTGATGCCTGTGGCCCGCTGACGGTACACACTGGTGGTCCCTTCTCCAGTACACTCACATTTCTCCAACTAGTTGAGGCAGATATTTACTGAGTTAGTCATGTTTCTTCCCCAATATTTTTGCCTGTTGTGCTTGTTACTATAATTCACAATTTATGAAAATTGACAAAATTTGAACATGAAAAGGAAAGGTATTTGTTGTTTCTGTGAAAATAAATCGGAATGCTTTGGAATGTTCCAATAAAGGCAAGTTGCTTTTTGAAAATTGCTATTGAGTTAGGTGTGGCAAGTCAATTCAAAACATTGAAAAATACGAGTATAAAAATCCAGAAGGATTAAATTGCTTTGCAGTAACCTTTAAATTCTCACTCCACTTTAAGAAGAGAAAAATTGGAATTAGTAGGTAACGTTTAGGGTATAGCTTACATAAGAATAATATGTGGACTTCCAATTAGTGGAATGGCTTTGGCTTTATATCAAAAGTTTGACAGGTGAGTGAATGTACATTAACATATTTTAAATTAAAAACATCTGTTTAATGTCACGCACACACATAATTTTTATTATTATAATTCCTTGCTTTAACTAAAGAACTATTGGTCCAATGGTGCGACAGAAGAGGACCCCTATCATATTAATAAATAATAGGAAAAAAAGTGCTCCCCTTCTTGGGTATAAGTAAGTGCATTTCACTATTGGGAACCCCAGAATACTGAAGAGCTTTGCAGACCCAAAGGAAAGAATGGCGGAAATGGATAGAGTGACAGCATTCAGTGAGATTTTCAGATGGAGATTTTCAGCCTGTCAGGGCTGAAATCACTGTGCCACTTATAGGCTACTCCAGTCTGCAGGGAGGTACTAAGAATGGAAAGCCATGGGGGGAAAGAGAGATGAAAAACTTACTTCTCTATTTCAGAAAAGAAATGTAAATCATTGACTGCAAAATTGACAGTGATAATCCTGTGGCCAAAGATACGTCGCTTCGAAAGCACTATATCTCCATTTTCAGGGTCCACACTCCGGACATTTGTGGGGTTTGAGACTGGGCGTCCTGATACGTTTGGTGATGGGGAGAGATCTGAAAGAGAAGAGGAGGCAATTCACATCTAGTTTGAGCAGCTCACTCTTAAGCCTGAAGCCTCTGACCTGGGCATAAAACTAAAATGAAGAAAGAAAACTGTGGACCCACCTTTGGTCTGATTGACATAGTGATTCCCTCCCATTAGTCTCAATCTTTTATTTCAACTTGAAGGATTGCTGAAAAAACCATTTGATCAGATAGCATGACAACATAGATACCAAAAAAAAAAAAAAATCAACTGAGTATTGAAAGGCGTTTTCCTGGTGCTTGTCTAATAGAAATATAATCACACTATAATTATGCTAATCCCTAACATTTCTACAAAGACTAAATATGCAAATGTGACTTCAAAATGGAATGTGTGGTCCTGATGTTGATTATTCAAGGTTTATCAGAGAAGTAATTTAGAAGTAAACTGGGAAAGCAACACAAAGAAAAAGCCAAAACACGAAGAGCAAAGAGAAAGTTCGTCAAGGGGCTGGCCCCGTGGCCGAGTGATTAAGTTCACGTGCTCAGTTTCGGTGGCCCAGGGTTTCACTGGTTTGGATCCTGGGCTTGGACATGGCACCACTCATCAAGCCATGCTGAAGCGGTGTCCCACATGCAACAACTAGAAGGACCCACAACTAAAAATATACAACTATGTACCAGGGGGCTTTGGGGAGAAAAAGGAAAAATAAAATCTTAAAAAAAAGAAAAAAAAAAGTTCGTTAAAGAAAGGAAAGAGGGTAGGAAGCTGGAGTAGAAAAGAGACAGGAATAAGAAGGAGAGTACAGAAGGTTCGGATTGTGTCTCAGAAAAATAAGACACTTATTTTAGAAAGTTTCTTGACTAGGTAACCCGAAGAAATCCATTCATAGGGATTCAGGGCTGAGAAGAGAACAGTTCGGGGTTAGATCTGACAAGTAGATCCTAGTTAATTGCCTGGCTGGATTTAAGGAAATTGTCAATCAGCTCTAGAATTTACTATTCTTCCCATAAATCATTTATTCTGGATATTTGTTCAGGAATAACTGATGTGGACGTGGTGCCCCCTATGGTGTAAATGGGATTCCTTTCAGTGCAGTGTTACATATAGGATGGGAGGGTCACCTCAACATTCAATAAACACCCAGCACCTTTTATGTCCCAGACACTGTGTTAGGTGCTAGGGTTATAGCACTGAACAAGACATAAGGTCCCTCCTTACTATCTTACAATCTTTCTTTTTTTATCACTTAGATTTGAGTTTAAAGGAAAAAAAAAGGTCTGGATAACAGCTGAAGTTGATATGATAGTCAGGGATTTTAGGAAAAGAGGGTGCTAAATCCACCCAAGAAATCTTGGAGCAGTGGATGCTTGTAGACTCTCTGTGGTAGGGGAGGGAGAGTCTGATTTGTATTATTTGTCGATTTCTATAGTAAACACTCCCACCATGATTGATTTCTGAAGCTATCGTTGGTTTGTCAACTTGCTCACAAAATTCCTGAATATCTAACAATCGGCTCTCAATTAGGCTAAAGTTGTCAGATTGATTTTGTTTTTTTTAAAGCAAGATCTGGCTATATGCTGGCTCTAAGAAAAGCACTTTAAATGTAAGCCATAAATGGGCTGTAAGTAAGGAATAGAAAAAGATACATATGCTAACGCAGTAGTACAAGGAAAACTGGAGTGACTAACATCAGAAAAAGTAGATTTCAGAGAAAAGAATATTACCAAGGATAAAGAAGATCCTTTCATAATAATAAATGGGTCAGTTAATTGGAGGATATAATGATCCTAGAAAAAGCTAAACTATAGCGATGGAAAGCAGACCGCTGGTTGGGTAGATCTCCGGTTGAGCTGCAGAAGCACGCCTGTTCTTGGGCTCTCAGGCAATGCAGGGGATGTGGGAAGTGGAAGGAGGGTGCAACTGGACTTCCTACATTCTGCAGCATAACGGTTTGAGCTGATTTTATTTAAAAGAAGAAACAAAAGAGCTAGAAATATTCCTAAACTCTAAATGTTTGGTTGTGAAGCAGTTGATAAAACATACGTTCAAAAACGTTTTGCACATTAGAAAACATAATAATAACAATAAAATTCCAATAGAAAAATAGACAAAGGACATAAACAGTTCAAAAAAGGCAGCAAATGACCAATAAAGATGTTCAATTACTAAAAATACATAGGAGTGGTACATTATTTTTTATCTACCAGATTGGCAGTTTTAAAAAAATGTATAATATCCCATGTTGGTGACAATGTGAGGAATCCGCACTCATTTATACTGTTGGTGAGAGTTTAATTAACACAAGGTTTTTAGAGGGCCAAAATTTAACTATTTTTAACCATTTACCCATTACTTCCATCTGGAGGAATTTATTTCATAGAAACATACAATTGCAAAATTTGTGTTTTACAGCCTCAACTGAGAGTTAGAACTGCTCAAAAGTCATCAGAGAGATGAGCTCTGTCGCTATCCATCCCTACTGTCTCATTTCAGGCGCTTTCCCCATCTCATTCATCTTTAGTCCAACTAGCCTGATTTCAGTTCTTGAATGGCACCGTCTTCTTTCTTATTTTAGGATAAATAAAATAAATCTTGTTGCTCGTTCCTGAAAACTCAACTTTACGTCATTTTCTGGGAGAAGTCTTCCTGGATCCTCCCCCTTGACTAATTAGTATCTCCCTGTGATTATCATTGGGGTCACTTGTCACCACTATATAATATTAGCAATAATACTAGCTAACCCTTTTATAGCCCTTACTGTTGCCCAGAATGTTCCAAGATGCTTTACATGTATTAACGCACTTAATCCTCACAACAACCCTAGGGAATAGGCACAATTATTACTTCCATTCTACAGATGAGGAAAAGGCACAAAGTCACTTTCGAAAGGTCTTTCAGTTAGAAAGTGGCGGATTCAAACCCAGGCAATCTGGCTCCACCATCTGTGGCTCTTAGCTTCTGTCTTGCCCTCAAAACTGTAGGTGCCATGAGGGAAGATCCTATGCTGCATGTTCACTACTCTATCCCCAGCTCCTGGCAAAGCGCTTGCCACATAGAGGATTCTCACAAAGTGTGTTCAATGAATGAATGAACGAATGAATGCAGTAGTTGAATAAATCCATACTACAGACAAAGGATACAAAGACAGGTTTGCAGAATGTAAGATCTCGCAGTGCTTTAGACTAGTCATTCTTCACCCTTTCTGGCTCCCTGAGCAGAAGCCACTGGGCACATGTCCTCTCTAGGCAGTCCTGGGCTTGGCTTTGCACCAG